TATATATCGTCACAATAACCTTGTTTGCATTACCGGCTAACCATTGGGTAAACAGCTCTTTCAGAGCCAGTCCAATGAAGAATCAATGCTATGACGCTATATTTTGTAAGTGGGCTTGATGCTACTAACCGCACCAAACGTGATCTGATGGTCTTGGTGGAATATTTCATAATAAGTGGTATGTGAATGACTGGACAAAATTTCCATGAAAGAGCTATCATTCCAATGGTTACCCGGTATTGCGAACAAGGTTATTGTGACGAAAATATACTTCCTGGGTACAAGTATATGAATGAACTGACAACAAATTACCGGATACGCATGCCTGACGAGCGGCGAAACCGGTTGTATGCTTCCAGTATATCCAGTCGTTCACATACCACTTATTATGATTATATATATATATATATATATTGACAAACTACCTTCTTTGGTTGCATTCCTAACCCGAGTATTAAACTGGCCAAGTCTAGCCCACCAACCATTCAGGCGGTGTGAAAATCGCTTACTATTGGGGAACGGTGGCCACTATCACAATTAGGAAGATGTGGAATGGGGGCGGGGTATGCACCTCTTATTGCTGGTTTGGAATCAAGGTTTTTAGCCGATGGCACTGGGCAAACTTCCATTGGTTCATCAACTCGGTTATAGCCTCGGACTTTTTTGTTTCGTCCTCACTTCAGTCGAAAAGCACCTGTAACATGTGAAGGCAGTGAGTAGGGGATTCCTCAGCAGTAATTATTTGAGTTGTTCTGTCGTATAGGTGTTTTTCTCGGGATGCTAGGAAAGAGTGACCGGTTTTCACCAGAGACATGCACTCTCTACCATACTGAGTCTTTCTGAGACACCTAACTTCAATATTGCTCACTCGGGTTTTAACCCCTGTGTGCTTTCTGCTGCGAACACAACTTGTTTGTTTGTGTATGGAGAGATCAGTGAACCAGGGAAGCTTTGGCGCTTCCACAAATTATTTTTGGGCACATTGAGGGGTGTGTGCCAACCAAGTCCGTAAAATTCCTGTGCCACAGATGTTCAGAAAATATCCTTTACTAGTGTCCCGTCTTAGAAACCAGAGTTTGTCTGATTCGTACTGCAACAAAAAACGGTTTGCGTTTCAAGAGATGTCCCCGTGTGATTTCTGTTTTACTCTTAAAGTTCGAAATTCACTCTTACTAGATATGTGCATGTCCAGATCAACTTGTTTTTTTTAATAATTCTCGCTATTGTTCATAGTTAGCAGAGTTGTTTTCCCACTAAAGTGAGAGTACGAAATGCCAATATCCGGGATTATAACAGGGTCGGTGAGCCGCTGACAATGCACCTAGAGGAGTTGGCTAAAAACTCTGATTCCAAACTGACCCATAGGAGGCGTACGAACGACACTCACCTTTCTGGTTGTGGCAACGGTCACCGGCTCAATTAAGCATCGAAGTGTATTCGGCACCTTGAACGTTTGACCCCATCCAAAGGGAGTATGATCCGATAAACTAGACACCGCCCCCCCCCCNGATCAGGCTTTGGCTAGCCGAACGCTCTGATTACGAATCCCCTAAAAAATTCACCTCTGGCATGGACAACCTGACGGTATCCTGATATTTTGCTAATCATGAACCTTTTTTGTAAAGAATGCTATACCGTGATTTGTTTGGCGCACAGCCTGAATACAGACGTGTGTGAAAAATCTAAACAGTTGTTTAGTGTCATATCTTTACTAACCTATTCGATTGTTCATAGGCGCCCAACATTCTTGATGGTCTTGGGTCTTCGGAGATGGTTCATTTCTCACTAGTTGAATGCGTTTAAATGCGTTGGAAAAATATGCATGAGGATGAACAAAGAGTGCTGGACAGCTGTTTCACCTTTCTGAGGACTCATCAGCAGTGCTTACCTTCTGCATCCCTATCAGGACTCCAACCGCGAACATCCGAGTCGTGACTTTGAACCCCTACCCGTGGGCTACACGATCGACCGTCATCACATTGGGCGAATGGCTCAATCAATTAGGAGTATCATGTTTGGATGAGCCCATTCGATTGTTCGCAAGCACCATCACTCTTGATGGTCGACAATGTAGTTCAGAGGTTTGAAGTCCCAACCCGAACATTCGCATTTCTAATCCTCTCAGGGACATAAAAGTTACCCACTGCTGACGAGTTGCGAACAGCTGTCGGGTGATCTTTGTCAGTCATCAGAAACATTTCCGTTGCGTTTCTCTCTATGGTTAACTTAATCCGGCTATCATTTTAACCCATTCTGCAAACTCAGCACTTCATCGTCACCGCAAGGGGTCACACCTTTGAATTCAGCTCATCTTTTACAATATGATTGATTATCTTCAACCAACGTGGCGTTTTCTCTCTGTCTGTCTCATACTTCCAACTTATTAGTTCAGCCACATGGAGAAAAGTTGTTTAATGGAATCGCGCGCTCCCGGCGTACGTCTGTCGGATCCGGTCGGCACAGTCTCAAGCCTTCCGACTTGGGTGTCAGTCCTGTTGTTCCATTGCTTTCAGCTTCTAGCGAACAAATGACGCTTTCAAACGGAACTTCCGTAGACGGGAACATCCTGGTTTGCACCACCGATCACGTTGATTCGATTGGGCTGGACGATTCACTCCCTGACGAGGCTAGTTTGTCCGATTCCTCAATTAGCACGGAAATATCAACTCCTATCGGTCAACACCGTAGCATGATCACATCTGTGCAACCGACCAACCCAGTAATTAACAATCCCCTAGAAACAGTTGAACCCCGCGTGTCTTCCACGCGACGTCGTTCGATTCGCTTGTTAAATCGATTATTCTCTCGAGGGAGTACTGTGCAACTTCACGTAAGCCCACCTTCGAAAGCTGATAGAACAGCTTATTTTGCCCCGGTTCTCATCCAATGGGTGCAGAAAATCGGAATGACATATCCGGAAAGGAATCGCTGCCTTCAAAATAATCGCCCGTGAGTATCGTCATCTTGTACATGCTTATCTCCACCGAGCATTGTTATTAACTTCCTCCGAACGATTGTTTTATTGTTAAAGGAAAATGAGTTGTGCAATACCCGTTAAAAATGACCGGTTTTTCGTCTTACTGTATCTAAAGCATGTTTTCTGTGTGATGTACTGTTATCGTCCGCTGAATGGACATCATTTTTGCATTTTTTTATTTGTATCAGTTTCGTGCTGAACTAGATTCAAACTTAGTTTGCCAAACCATTAATCAATACTGGCTCTTAATGTTAAACACATTTATTATGTGTAAATTGTGCGCTCTGTTTGACCCTGCTTCGAACACCGCTGTCTACGTCGCATTGCACGAGTCTGGTGGAGAAACCGGACGAGCAATGCTGAGGTTAGGCGGAAAGTCTTAGGCAGTCGCGGTTGTCCACTGGAACAAGTGATCGACCTCCATAGATTACGTTGGTTGGGGCATGTTTCACGCATGTCACCAAATAGGTTGCCACGGCGAGCGATGTTTGCCGAGGCAGGTAGCGGTTGGAAAAAAATGAAGGGCGGTCAAGCTAAGACCTGGCATGAAGGTATGAAAACCCTGACCAGGGAACTGGCTCACATTGGTCCCGTTAGGCTCCCTGGCTAGGGACCCAGAGTTAATGGTCACCGGTGGTTAGAGATACTGAGCGATATGGCTGGGTGTCGCAAACAGTGGCGCTCATGCATCTACTCATCATTCTTGTAACTTCAGTCTATGAAAATGTGCTATCTTCCGTTTGAATCTGCTCTCAACATTCCAATCTTCTTTCTGTTATTTCATCCAAATGGGGCACCAAAAGTCAGCAACCAAAACCGGCGCATGAAAGTGCATGGTTAATGATTGTAGGAACTGAACTGAACTGAACTGAGTCTACTTTTCGACCTCCATCCGAATCTCACGTTTTTGTTGTTGTTACTTATCCAAATGTTTATTGCACTTCTAGGAGACATGATACACCGTTATTTTAAATACGAAAACATTTGTATGGTGAAGGGAATTGAATCACGTTAGCTATGACCGTGCGAATGTTACGCACTGCCATCTCACTCAGAGTTGACGTTGAAATCTGGTCTCATATTCTTGTCAAAACTCTTATAATCAATATTCTTTTCTCATTCCAGTCCCTCACCACTTCCTGTTCCGGAAAGCCCTAATATATCAGCTTCTGGTAAACGGCCTCTGAAGCTCACTCGGGAAGAGCTGTGTGAACTGGAGTATCAGGAAGCACAGCTTTTTCGTCGTTTACGCCAAGTCCTGCGACGCGTTGTAGCACACCTCGCCCGACACAGACGGTTTGCTGTGTTTGCCCGTCCGGTGCAAGTAGACGAAGCACCAGATTACTACGAGGTGATCAAACATCCAATGGACTTGGGCACAATCCGCGATCGCATAGATGCCGATCGATATCGCAATGTGGATGATTTTATGAAGGTTTGTTGTATGAGATACCGGTTCTAAAATTTATCTATGGAACCTTTTTCCGATTGTTGTATAGATAATGAGAATATTTTGGTTTTTTTGACTGTACACCTCAAAATTTTACGCTAATTTACCTCATCTTCCAGCGATACTTAATGCAGTCGAGGTCACCAGTCGCCATCTGCACGTGAAACTGTTTTGTACGTCCAGCGAGATAAAAATGATGAAACGGTAATGATAGATTTATACGTGACTACTTTTCATAGTCCCCCTTGTAATTGTATATATATATTTATTTCACACTTGTCTGAGAACAGACTGTGTGCCAAACAAATCATGGTACAATAATCTTTATAAAAAGAAAAATGTTCCATGATTGGCTTGTGGGCTGAGTACTGCCAGGTTGCCCAGGCCAAGGCAGGTGAATTTTCTTGAGGAATCCAC